TGAGATTTGGAGACCAAAAATTAGAGAGGTACATAGACTAAGAGGATAGCCAGTATATTGGCCCCAGGCCTCTGAAGTCATTGAGAACTGAAGACAAAGGAGAACCCCTGCTGTGACATCCTATAACTTGGTTGAACACCTGATTTCTGATCAAGGACATTATTGTCCTTGATAAGGGACCACAGAGGAAAGTGATTCAATGGTGTATAGTGTGCCTAAGGAGAGTCATCAGGAGAGAAAAAAATCTCCCAAGGCTTCACAGAGAGCAGCGTTGTCAAGAAATGGCTGTAACTCATCCAGACAGCTGACACTGACAGAAGAAATAAGAAGTTCTCTACTTGTTTCCAAGGGAAATCCTGAGGAGACATAACTGACCTTTATAGACTGCAAAAAGTTGATTAACATAGGTCTCACCTTAACTTGGTCTTGAATATCCAACAGAAAAGTATAACCACAAGATGTATAAAAAACAATGCCATAGTAATATGTTAGGTGCAAAAAACTGAAATCACTAACAACTTCTGTCAATTGCCAGCAGTACTGTTAAAATTATTGGACTGTATAGAATTAACTTGCTGTATACAGGTGCCTAAAATCTTTAGCCTAAATGAGTAAGTACACTCTGAAGGGAAAGGGCTCAAGAATGAGAAGGTCTTCTATAGAGTTTTCCAAACATAGCTCCTCCAACTTCAACTGAGCAACCACTGCTTTTAACTACAAAGCAGAAAAGAGAGAGATGTAGGGAGCAGCTGAAATTGGAAATTGGTCACATGTGTGGGGGCAAGACCAATCCAGAGTGCCTAGAGCAATCAAGCTGCTTCAGTCCTGAGAAAACATCTTGCTTGAGACAATTCCAGTTATTAGTTGCTAGAAAACCCTGTGTCACATTATACTCATGTTGTCAAATGTTTAAATAAATGCCCCTGTGGTGTTTCTTGAGCTCCTTTCCTCCCATCAGGAGATAGAGCGCTCTACATGACCTCAGCTTTCATCTCATATTTTTATTTCTAAATCCTCTTGCCATTTTTCTGGGAACATTGAGACCTCTTCAGGACACAAGAGGGAAGGAGGAGAGAAAAGAGGAGGAGGAACAGGAGAGAGGAGAAAAGAGAAAAACTGGGGAGAAAGGAGGAAGGGGATGGGGAGAGAAGGGTAAGGGGAGTGAAAGAAGAATGAGATGCACAAAATTGTTCAAGGGCAAAGAATATTAACAAAGAAAAAGAATTAATCTTGTGACAAAGTTAAGACTCTCATGAAGAACCCTATAAATTCTGCTGGTACATACATTCTTGGTAATTTGGCTCCTTCTTGGTTTGCAATCGCTGCTGTCTTCCCCACCTTCACCCCCACCCAAGGTGCTGATTTCAATAAAATGCTTTGGCTGGTTTCATAAAGACAGGGAGAGAAAAATGACTTAAAAAGGTAAGCACTAATCAGTGTCTATAGCTAATGGCATATATATGAAATACATATTATATGCAACAATTATTTCTGCATTTTTGCATATATATACACTTATAAATAAATGTGTATAGTATCCATTCACCTAATTATAGTTGAAGAAGCAAAAAATCTTGATCACATAAGCAAGCATCCTAGTGCTATGAAATATGTTAGAAAGGTTATAGGACACTGCAGCTTCCTCTGTTTGTCTAGATCTCAGACATACTAAAGACACACAAATTTGCATCAGCAGTTATGCTGTTACTTCTCAGTTATTATCTCTTAGTGCTTTATGTCAAACGGAGAAGTTTCTCTTTTCATGACTTAGACCAAACTTCCTTCACCTTACACATCAACTACCTAATACATACCAAATATTATGGCAGAGCATTCATTTTCTAAATTCATAATTTTTCTTTACAAATATTTTATAAATTGGCTATCAATATTTAAAGATAGCAAAGCCAAAATTCAGTAGGTTTTTCCAAAGCTACATGGGTAACAAATTTTTCTTGCAGTTTTTTTTTTTTTTATTTTAAAGAAAATAGTACCAAAAAAAGAACAACGGCAAAATACAAATGAAACAAAGCAAGGACATTAAAAGTGATACAGGGTTTCAAAACAAATGATAGGGATTAACAGTAGTTGTTATATTACATATTGTTATCTTCAAGGAAGTTGCGCAGATTACCAGATGTGAAAATAAAGGATTGATCAAGTCATTAAAGGGAATAACAAAATAATAATTTAAAAGAACATTAGAGACAATATATAGTTTCACTAGACAGAATTGTAGGAATTCACCAATGGTTGTCATACTGCAAATTGTGTTTGTATTCAAATTCCTTCATGTATCACATGATCTCAAAAGATCATATAAAAAATAAACTACAGAGCTTCAGAAGACAGTATATTCTATAAACAGAAAGAAAGTGAGGTAATAAATAGGGATTAATAGGAGGCAATTTATACAGGTAGTCAGGCAAGGTCTTGTTGAGGAGGTGACATATGGGTTTAGGTGTAAATGAAGAAAAAGTACTAGCTGTGAAAAATCTAAGAACAGAAAAAACAAAAACATGTTTTATTAAATGAAATTAAAAAGTTTAACTTCTCTAGGAAAGAGAATCAAAGCTAGGGTGGTTGACCTGAGGCAATAGGGCAAGAATGAAAATGATGGAAGATGATTATCTGCCTGGAAAAAGTTTTGTGGTATTAATCTGCCAAATTGTCCTACAATATTCAAATTTCAAGGATAATCAATATCCAGCTAGGGAAATTAGATGTTCCACTTACAAAAGAGTCACCAGAAGGGAAAAGATACATTAGTAAATGTAAAAAATTGGGATATTATTTCTAGATTAGTTCAGTCAATTCCCAAGAAGAACTTCTTCACACATAGAAAAAACATATAGAAAGCTGATCACTGTGTGAAAGGACATTTTCTTTCTCTCTCTTTGTACACCACAGACAAGGAAGACATTTTAAGAAATATTGCATATTTATAACAGTGATATTATGTCATGCATTCTTCATAACAGAATGTGTGAAATTAGTTGCCGTGTGGATTTTAACCAAGATCTCCCAGCTCTACAAAGACAAAATAACTTTTAAAAGCTATAAGTTGGTTTACCTCAAAGAAATTGGCAGAAAGTATTAGCAATAAAGGTTGAAATTCAACTCCTCCTTTGTTATCCTTCCATGGTACTCATGCATACCCGTACTTTCCAGGAGAAATCTAAACCCATATAGGACTGAAATGTACAATCCTACAAACATTCCTGCATAGCATTCCATTCCATATTTTATATCTTTGTAAATACCTTTCTCTTTTCTATCTTTGTAAATACATTTTATTAACTGATATTCATTGTCATTCAATTGTTTTGTACTGAAAACATAGTTTTGAGTTACTATGAAACGATTACAAACCCAGAAGAGACAAATCAGACAAAATGCTTTCCATCAATCAGCTTAGAAGTGAGTGTGGAAAATTATGAGGAACAATGATGCAACACTGGTTATTGACACTGACACAAATAAAAACATATGTAGGGGCACAAAGTGTATGATTCCACTTCACATATGATGGCAAATGAGGAATTCTCTGGGCAAGTAACCCTTAAATGAAAAGTGTATTGAACAGAAGGGAAAGCCCTATGGGTAAATGTAGGCAGAAACTTTCAGAGAAAAAGTAAAGATGCTGTAGTGATAGCACGTTTGATATTTTTATGACACACCAAGAGATTATGATTGGAATGAGTAATGATCAATAGGAAAAATGGCAGGGTAGGGATGGTAGCAAGGAATTAGTCAATGTATAAATCCTCACTATAAGGTCTTTGGATTTTATGATACATATGATAGGAAGCCTTTCAGGCTGAAAGGAATACAAGTTGAATATCTCACCAAAACAATATGACTTTCTTAAAAACTTTCTTCCAGCTGTTATTGAGAGAAGGTTTTAGGAAGATAGTGTGGAAACAAAGATGGACTTTTCTCCCAATGTGTACCTCTGAGTTTTAGGTAGAGAAGTATACCTGATCATCCAACACACTTTAAATGATGATTTCCAATACACTTAAGCACAGCATTTTCACTAAGGCTTCATGCTGAAGGCAGAAACACTTTATTTTAAAAGAAATATTAATAATAAAATGTTTGAAATCAAGTTTATTAACCACAATGCCATTTTCATCCCCACTTTTTAGGTCCCATACATAGATATTCTGTGTGGATTGTTTGATTTAGATGAGAGCAACATCATGACAGCATGCTTTTTTATATATTTCAACAATAACCAAACAGAATAACTTGCAAAGTAGCTGACAGTTAGAATAAGATGTTACTGAGGTAGAAGAAAAGCAGTCTAAATGGCAGTAAAACATAGCAAGGAAATTAGCAGGAGAGAATGAAAGAGATAATTTAAGATAAACAGTTTTAGCACATAGCAAGGAAGTTCCAAACCACAAGCTTTCTATTTCCTGCATCAAGGCAACTATTTAGTAAATGATACCTTAAAAGAACTTTACCCCAGAGGGGGTAAATGGAACTGTTCTGAAAGTTATTTTTTATATCTTCCCAGCTAAAACACTTCTGGGCAATAGAGATCCATAAGGACAGAGGTTTAAAAATTCTTATTGAATAATAAATCCTCTGGCCCCAAACATTATCAAGTATAGACTAATTATTCAATAAATAGAAGCTGTTAAATATATGAACAAATCAATGAATAGAATTCTAAGAAAATGTTATATTTGCCTCTAAACTCTTCACATCAAAGATAGAGGTATCTAACCTTTAATTCATCACTTAGATTATACTATCTCCTAAATTACTTGTGTTTTTTAAAAAGTTAAAGACGTCTGTTTTTGAGTCTGGGAAAATCCCACTCGTCTTCACGATGCACTACAGTTGTGAGAAACCACACCTCACATGGCCAGGGAAACCCACGCCTCACCACAACACACCATCCATTGTCTGGGCCACTGGAGCATGAATTAAAGAGAACTAGCTGAGCGGGGCGCTCGAGATGTAAAAGGAAGGGGGCGGAGATACTTAAACGGATATAAATGTTAAGATGCCTCAGAGAACCCACAGATTGAACAAGAGCTCCAAGAAAGATTCTCTGCTGGCCGACTTGACCTGAAATTCACTGGCAATCTTGAAAGTAAAGATGAGTTGTGGAGACTGTCCCATAACAGAGACTAGTTCTTTGCGTCAGGAGGAAGGGAAAAAAAGTAAGTAAATCTTGATTTCTTATATACTAGTGATACTCTCTGTAGCACATAAAATGTTGTTAGGGAAGAAAACGTGACAAATGGTTTGATTCTATTTCACTCAGCATGAAAGAATAACTGGGGAGAGGTAAATAAGTGAAACTGTTCAGCTGTGCGACTATAAAGTACTTGAGAGGATATCACAAGGGTAAATTTCAGAAAATCTTTAAAAGTATTTTCCTTTGAATCAGTTTATATCATGTCAGCTTTTAGATTTAAGTGCAAAACTCCTTGCCCTAGCCCATCTACACCGCGTTGTGTATCATACCCACTGGTGTGCACACTGCAGGAAATGTTTGCTCTTTCTATAGAAAATTCGGTTGTCCATTTAAGCAACCACATTCTGGCTTATCTTCCCTTATACCTTCGTTTGCTCTCTGTCACCTCATCCTGTGTTGTCAGGACAGTATTTTCCAGTGGCTGGAAGTCTATCAGGTTTCAGACTTTGAAAGAACCATTTTAAAACCACCTAAGTATTTGGTATCCAGTGGTCACCAAAATATAAATAAAAAGGTTCTCAAAATGCCAATCTTCTATTTTGACATTTTTTGGGGGAAATCTCTTTTCTTCATTTCTTCCTTCTACTTCTCTTTTTTTATTTTAAAGAGACAAGAGCAGAAACAAAATAACAAAAGCAAAGACATAAAAAACAAAAACATTAAAATGATATAGAATTTCAAAACAAGGTGATAGGAAATTAACAATAGTTGTTGTACTACATATTGCTATCTTCAGAGTGGTTATTCAGATAACCAGAGACGGGCATGTAAGACTGATCAAACTAATCACTGGCTTCAAATACTACATAGCTGGTTATTTTTCTTCCTTTTGTTTTTCATCAAAGTGTGGTCATCTTGTGAATGTTTCCTTTTCTATTTGCTGTATTTATGTATCTATTCTATGTTCTGTAATTAAAAATTTTCATTGATTTTTTATCTTGTTTCTGTAAACTTCCTTGATTTTTAAAAAATTTTATCCCTCTTCCACTCTAATGAATGAGAGGTCCCAAAACACTAGCACTTAGGAATTAGAGTTTACTTGTAAGCATGTGCTAACCAGTTAATGAAGGGGTTCATTAGAAACAGCAGAGCCAAAACAACGTCTGGGGAAGAAACTACTTTGTGAACATACATCTGTTATATTGGTTTACTGTACAAAAGTATCCATTTTTCTTAAATGCAACTTTTGTTTAAGAACAAAAAAATCAATTATGGATAAAATGTATAAGTCAAATAAATTTCTAGGCAACTGGCTGAGCCAAAACTTTATGGCTCCCCCGAGCCACTAAGGAAAAGAAAATGATAAAATTATTGAACTGCAGAGAGCATAGTTGAGATGAACATGATGTAGAAATTCTTAATTTTACCTAGGATCATCACAATTTTCTGCTGAATACTTATCCTTCCACTGTAGCTGTCTTGGTAATATAAACAATCATTCAATATCACTCTTGGGTGACACAATAGGTAACAAATAGGTAGATCTATTTTCAGTTTCTCCATTAATGGAGAAGACCTACTATCAGAGCAGAAGTGTGCTGTTGGGTAGATGTTTTGTCACCTAGGTGACAAGACATACTGTGGTTAAGAGCAGCCCTCCTTAATGTAAATAAAATGTCACCTGAGAGTCACCCCCATAGCTTACATCCTGGGTGGACCTATAGGTGGGGTTAGCTCTGAGATCTGATAGTTACTTGGCTGTTTGAGTACTTCCTAAGGAGACAGTGGTATTGCAGCCTGGAGTCCAGGCAGCATGATTGACTCATGTGGAAAGAAGTGAAACTAGACAGATCTCTGAACTTAGTGCCTAATCTAACAGAGATGGCTTCTTATGAATGTTGTGTATGGAGGAAAAAAGGAAGAATTGCTTTGAGAAGGAGAGAGTAATAGGGTTAAATAGGGGTAAGCCAAAGACTTCTTTTGCAAAATCTGGAAGCAGGTATGTGCAGGGGAAAAGAGACCCTAGAAGAGGCAAAAGTTGATGTTGATAGTGGCTCCAGGATAAATCATCATTAAAGAAGAAAAAAGAAAGCAACATCTGTTTGTGAAATTTACCTTTAGAGAAATGTTTCAAGTGGAAAAAATACATACATTTTAAGCTATGTCTTATATAAACTCCTTTTCAGTTATGAAATCATCCATATTGAGGAACAGGACATTTTTGTATGTGGAAACTTTTTCTTTGTCAGCTTTAACATCAATCAAATCATTTCACATTTCAGTTTTTAATAATAATAATAGGGAATTTGATAACATACTAACCTATGCTCAGGGGAGGGGTCCTTTGCTTAAAAAAAATCTTGGTAGGTCATCTTTCAACATCAAGGTGCAAAATCTGAACCACAAAATTATTTTCCCTTTTTTCCCATTACTTATTTTTATTGGTTTACTGGTAGACGTCTACCCTTGTAAAAGTTTCTTATTGATTAAAGAAAGTTTTGAAATTGTGTCATTATACAGAAGGGTAAATGAAAAATTAACTTCCAGTCAATATCTGTTCTATGATAGAGCTATGTTTCCTCTATCATTGTGACAACATTTAGAAAATTCAAATATTTCACATTGATATGTACTTTTTAACTGTGATATAATTGATACACATGGATGTACAAGTAATAGGTTATGACAGTTGGGTAACCACAGCACTATAAACCTCCACCATGTCCCATTCCTGTTAAACAACCTTTCCCATGCATATCAGCGCAATCACTGTTCTCATTGTTATCATGACAGCTTCTTTGGGTGCACCTGAATGGAACATTTCACATCTATATAACGTTCAAAAGGAACTAGCAAAACATATTACTGCATAAAAATTTATATTCAAATATAAAAATATTGCCAAAAGCTCAGTCTTAACAGTCTACCTGAATTCACTGCCAACTGTCTCCATTTCAGATAGTGCCACCACCCCCTATTTTGAAACAGAACATGAAGGGTGTCTGCGAGTTCCTATTCCATGTGCTGTCCTGATGGTGGTCATCATTACAGTTTTAATCATTGCTCTCACTGCCCTAACAGGTAAGTCTTCTTTTCATGCGCCTTCTCTCAAAGCCTCCTAGTTCTAAGCATTCATGACCAGATAAATTTGTAGGTATTTGCCTGGCCTAACTAATCAGGAACTTTAATTTTGGATTATGTCATAAATAACACTTGGCCAAATTCTTAATGACAATTAAATATGGTTCCATGTTCCTTGAATGATTACTGTATTATTTTGTGTTTAAGATTTACACAATATTGTAAGAGAAAATTAGAGATGTTTAGAGATGTTTAGATGTAAATTAGAGATATTTTAGGTGTAAAATTAGAGATGTTTAGATGTAAATGTCTAGATGTTTACATCTAGAAGGAATCGGGTATGTTGGAATTTAAATGAACAGATATTTAGCTAGAAAAATACATGTACCTTCCATTCATCACAAGCAGGAAAAATAACATCTAAGCCATAGTTTAATCCAAATAAAATAACCAGTCTTTTTATCTTTAATTACAAGGCAACAGAATGGTGATTTTTAAGACTATAGGTAGAAACTCAAAACCTCCCTGAGCATGAGCAATGAAATGATATCTATTATATCAGCATGTGTACCAAAACACACTTACAGCTTTCACAACTAGGACATTTTACAACTGTATGAAACATCCCCAGCTATTTTTTTTTTGTTCTTTGAATTAGTTACCTGAGAGTTAATCTCTCTCTAATCTCTCAATATAGTTTTATACCTACTGTATCTTTAAATTCCTACACCTCTACAAGTAGATACAAAATTTTACTTGGAATTTACAATGCACATTACCCTTTTAATCCAAGGACCATTTTCTGGATCCTTTTTTCTCCCCATTTTCCTGCCTGCTTCTTGTATTAAGACAAAAGAGACATCTGTATGCTAAGATGCCCAACCAGTCATAATTAGGCACAGCACAAGATCAGGTAGACAGACACCTGCTTTCTTCTCACTGTTGTCAGAAGGTCCTTACCCTTTGTCATCTCTCACCAAATAGCTCATCTAGATGAAGTTCACATGATGAGGTATTTGATTTTTTCTGCCACTAACAAATCACTTTCCAATTCACAGTGGGCAAATACAACTGTCCAAACCAATATAAGTTCTCCACGGCATCAGAGAGCCATGTGTCTTCATGCTCAGATGAGTGGATTCTATACCACAGGAAATGCTACTTCTTTTCCACCACAACACAGAGCTGGACCTCTGCTCAAAACTCTTGTTCTGAAGATGGTGCTACTCTTGCTGTCATTGATTCTATAAAGGACATGGTAAGGTTAAAAGAAAACTGATAAAATACTGGTATTTTATTTTGTATAGCTACTCCATGGTTTCTTTCTATTCCTTTCTATGTGAAAAAAATATGTGCCTATCGCACATGCAGAGAAATTTAGTCACAGCTGTAAGATAAGCCTAAGGTAAAAATGAAACTTTAGTGTAGTCTTTTAAATGAGATTTGATTGCTTAGTGTCAAAGACTAGAACTCTCAAAAACTGATCCCGTGCAGAACTAGTAAGTGACCAGCTTAGTCTTCATGCTCCAAATTGTAGCTCTTGAGAAACAGTTGTATTAAATGCTTACTCAGTGGGACTCCGTCAATGGTTTAACATAGAAACTAATTTGTTCTTTAAGGCCTTTCTAAAACGGTATGCAGGTAGAGCTGAACACTGGATTGGGCTGAAAAATGAAACTGGTCAGACTTGGAAATGGTCAAATGGCAAAGAATTTAAACACTGGTAAGTATCAGGAATTTTCTTTATCTTCCTCAGGCTGCCACTTCAGGAAGCTTTTCTTGTTTCATTTTTACTTATTATTTCCCCTTTACTTCTTCCAAAGTTTGGTTAGATATAAAGGTTAAGTAACTAAGCTCTAACAATTTCTTTTGTTTATACTATTCACAATTCTTTAAAGATAGGTTTTATTTATAGTATTTTCTCTATCCACTTAAAGTCATACAATAAGTAAATAAATTCATACATAATCTTTCTCTTGGCAATAATTGTAATAGACTTACTTTAAACGTGGTCCAAGAATAATTATGATGATGACGGATGAAACCTTTCTTAGAAAAGAATTACCTTTTTTTCCTTAACTTTTATTTGCCCAGAATATAAAGAACAGTATTTTCGGGGCTGGGGATTTAGCTCAGCGGCACAGTGCCTGCCTGGCAAGCGCAAGGTCATGAGTTCGACTCCTGGCACCAGAAGAAAAGCAAAAACAAACAAACAAAAAATAGAACAATATTTTCAATACCTAATTATGAGTTTCTGTGAACCTAAGGAAGACTTACCACAGAATTAGAGATGCTAATTCTATTTTCATTACCTGTACTTAAATTACATTTTAAATTTTGAGTGACATTTTCTAAGCTTGGTATTAATCTGAAAACCCAAAATTGAATAAATTTCTCACTCTCTTAGTAATTTTTTGACAAACACTGATACAGTATCAAGATTTAAACTGAGCTCTCTAGTAAAGGGATTCTTAGTAAGTTTCCTACAGCCCCATATCTGCAGGTGAGCTGCAGGGGCTATAAACAATGCACAAGTATATGTAACTGTTTAATGCGTAAAATTTCTGAAGCATTTCGGTTTTTTCTGAAGCATTTCAGGAGGAAGCTATGAACTCAAGAGTGACCAAGAATCATCCCTTTGGTGATATGTGAACCAAATGAATAGAACACTTTGCTCTTAGTTCTGTGTATTTTTTTCCACATATTTCTGTCACTTCTTATTTATTTTCCCTATGCAGATTAGATTATGATTGTTTTAGTGGCTGAGTTTTCTCTTATTTCTTACCAAGAAAAAAAAAGAAAAGGAAATGTCAACACAACTGCATTTTCATAGAACTGAACAGAAATGAGGAACTGAAAATAATTCTGACTTTACTCTTGGGCAGGTTCAACCTTACAAGGTCTGGGAGCTGTGCATTTCTGAACAGCACAGAGGTCAGCAGCACAGAATGTGAGCAGAGTTTGCACTGGATCTGCAGCAAACCCTCCAGATCATGAGGAAACACATTTCCTAAGCTGACTGCACCACTGAACTAAAAGAAAATTGTACCAATGAATGCTGCTCTGTGATCAGAAATTTCTATCAAGACTTGATGAGCAAGTTTTGTATTCTTTTGGAAACTGTCTTCCATACAGAACTGTGGGACAGAGGGAGAGAAATTCCAGGAAAACCTTGCATTGTGATTTCTTTCTGCTACGAGCTGAAAATATCACAAGTTGACTGATACTCACGTTCAAGAATGACTAGAAAGTCTTTTGAATGCACTTTATATTTTTAAAAAATACATAAGTAGTAAAATAACTAGGTTTAAAGTTATTATTTATTGTTGAACGACTACCAATAGTGAGTGTGTCTCATGCATTTGCACTATGTGAAAGAGTTAAACAGTGATAGTAAAAAAACGAATGTAAATAAATGGAATTTTGACTGGTTACACAGATATTCACCTTAAAGGGCATGTTTAAATTTTAGAAATAATTCATAAATGGAAATGCTTGAGGAACTAAGTTTTTTAATATTTCCATTTGCAGAAATTTACCATGTTACTTTGTCATTTTTTTCCCCAAAAGAATACTGTTGGCCTTTTACTTTTTGAACTTCCTTAATTGCAGACAAGTCTTTTTGAATAGTTCATATTTCTTTGCCTTTAATATCTTCCATTAGTGTTTTTCAAAGAAGAGACAAAAGCAAAGACTATGAAGAATATTTGTAAGGCAGATAAAAATATTAGAGAATGTGCAATGTGTGGGGTGAGGAACCTCTATCAGGAAATGTTCTATATTGTTCAGCTGTGGAATAATACCAGTCTTATCTGATAACAAGTTTGTGTCTGTCCTCATCAGCTTTGTCATGTGCAGTACTTTTTATGGAGTATTTTCTGTGTGCAATAAAGTATATTTGTTTGTATTCAGTACAATTTATAAGCTCCTTTTATGTATATGAAAATAAAACTAGAATCAATAGAATGGTTTGCAAGAAGCATTCGTTCAAAATAAATACATTATATGTCACTATTAGAAAGCAGAAAACAAAATATGATAACTTTTAAAAAAATTCTCTGTATAGTAACACTTTTGTTTTATAATATGGTTTAAGTACATGTCAGTTTGTTTTCATGCACATATAAGGTAAAGGCCTGTATATATTTTCCTGCATTCAGTAGATGTTCAGGAATATTTGTTCCACATAACCAAGGTCCTGAAAACATCTTGTTTGGTTCTAAAGGTACAATATGTGTTTTAGTTATTTACATAAAATAAGTCACTGAATAGAAATTAAGTAATATGTGATCTTCATTGGCTATTTCAGTCAGAAAAATAATTGATAACTTTCAAAATTGTCTTAAAGTATATTTAGCATATTTTGAAATTCCAACCTCTCTGAAGGTTGGAAATGTATAATACTGTATCCTGAATGGTTATTATCACCATGGTATATAGGAAAAGTGTGGGTTTAAGACTCATCTTAGTGACAAATGATATACAAGTGTCTTAACCTTTGAGTTTCTTAGTTACCATAGTTGCAAAATGAAACAGATGGCCTCCAAACTCTAATATTCTATTATTAACAACAACAGTGTACTCTTGGGGCAGGCTAGAAGCCAATGTCTTGTGATGGTTGTGCTATGGAATACGTAAATAGAAAGTGTAACTGCTAAGAGGCAGAAGATGACCACCCAGTGGCTGAGTTTCATTTTTGCCACCCACTGGCTAACTAGCTGCTTTGGATTAACTTGAAATTTAGTTGTACTTAATTATAAATTAAATTAGTACATCAGAGTTATCATAAAACAGTACCTGATTCACAGTAAACCTGAATAGTACCTTAAATATTAATGATGCTTATTACAAATGAAAACATCATGTCATCAACTTTTACCATTGGCATAAAGTAACATTTATTTATAACATGTATACTTCTATAGAAGACATTTATGTTCTTTTTTGAGGAACTTTAAAATAATTCATTTAGTAAGGAATTATAAAGCATCTATTACTTTGGTGGTCCCCAGAGGTAACTTTCTGAGCATATTTGGCATAAAAATTGGCCTTGCAGAACTTATGGCTAACTTATACAACAAACAGTAAAGTAATTACAATATGGTGTGATAAAGGGAAAAATAGGAGAAATGCAAGGTACTATGGAAGCCTATCCTAGTTGTACTACTTTATTTATTCCTATTGTCTAACTTTTCATAGTTTTCATAATGTTAAATATGAATGTTTCACTCATCTTAGATGATTACAATAATATGAGCTGAGAATAACTATTGGGTATCTGTGCTTTGTTTTACTTCTCAATGTAATTTCAATTTCTTCATTAGAAAAGAGAAATACTGTTCATTTCACGTAATTATAGGGATACTGTGAAATTATTTTAAAAAGATATAATACCCCTAAAAGATAGATACTACAGTCAGTAGTGGCTCAGAACTTTATAGTGTCAATATAGAGATGATCTTTTGGAGTTTGTTCTCAATCTGTTAATTTTGATCAGATGTCAACATATAAATATATAACAAATTAGAATGTAAATGAATTTCTGGAGGAAAATACTGGGAAACATAAGATCAGAAAATCACTAATAATAATACAAATCGGTTAGTTTAACCTTTGGAAGCAGTTGACCATACTTGAGAAAAACTGCAAAATAATTCATACAGTCCTCTTTGAAATGGTTATTTTGGGGGAAAAAGAAAGGATTTTTAAAGGAATAGTCTTTGGTGTATAAAATATAACCACAGTATTTATCAGAAGAATATTTTAGATAGTGTAATATTAGAAGCTAATTAACTGCCCAAAATTACAGACTTAGGTGAGTAATGTGTTTCTACTATACAATTAGATGCTATGCCAAAATTGAAAGGTAACAAGGAACATTTATGTACATGAAAGAATATTCAAACTACAATTGCTGCTAGATAAAAATATACAACATTACATCCTATTTGATAGCAAACATGCTTTGCATTTATTTATGCTGAGAAAGAAAGCACCAAGCACAATGTTTTCCCTAAGTAGTAGAAATATGTCATATTTTCTTTCTTTACACATTTTTTGTTATGAAGTTATTTTATTCTTTATTTGTACAGAAATATAGGATTCTTAAAAGGGAGCAATTCATCATTTAGAGTAAAGTTGTACTTGTGAACATTAAGCATGACTTTCCTTTATGAATTCCTCCCTGGATAAGGTCTTCAAGCTCCCTGGACAATGAGAAGTCCCATGTAACCACAAGTTGTAAGGCCATCTATTCACCCCTAAAATTATTGCATTTTATTTTATGTAACACTCAAAACTACATGAAAAAGAATTCTTGGTGACATTATTATGTTTAATAATAATGTACATTTAAAAATTGCTAAGGTTAACTTTCCAATGTCATCAAAAAATGTGAAGGATTTGAGGTGATGGATATGTTAATTGGCTTGATTTAATCGCTCCACATTGGATACATGCAGCATAACATTATACTATATTCCATATATATATGCAACTATAATATGTCAATTTCCAAAACATATTCAAAAGGATTTCAGGGTTATTTTTGTACCCAAAGTGGCCTGAATGTGTGTGGATAATTTCTTTTTTATTTCAGTAGTGCAGTCATCAACTCTCAACAATATCTTTTATATTTTCCACTTATAAAGGAAACTGCTGTAGCCTAAATAAATACATTCTGATAATAGTTCACTTAAGTCATGTTTTAAGATATTTTTATTGGGTGTGGTGGCACATGCTTATAATCCCAGCACTTGTGAGATTGAGGCAGGCAGACTTCTGTGAGTTCAAGGTCAGCCTAGGGCTACACAATGAGCTCAAGCCCAGCCTGAACTACATAGGAAGGGTCTGTCTCAAAAAGACAAAACAAAACAAAAATATTTTATGATATCAATAAAATGTAAGTAAAATAATGCTGGTAAAAATTCTATCTTTATACTAAAGTTCTGTATCACTGTAAGCCAACATATTCCCATATTTCTAGTTTCTGAGAATTCAAGGTCACGAGATTTTCTTGTTATTTAACATATACTTACCTTGGTGGTGGTTTTATGAGACAGGTTCTCCCTGTTTAGTTTAGGCTGGCCTTGAATTCACTGTATAACCCAGTCTGGCTTCAAACTTGCAGCAATTCTCTTGCCTCAGCCTCCCAAGTGCAAATATCAAATAGTTGAATGTGCTTTATTGTTGGAAGCCTCTGGAGCTGGATATTGGTCATATATGTGAAGGCAAAACAGAGCCAGAGTGCCTCAAGTAGTCAAGATACATCAGTATTGAAAAAACCATCCTGCCTGGACAGTTACAGTCATTAGTCACTAGACAACATTATCTCTCCTGATACTCACTTTGCAAGAGTATAAAATAAACACCCCTACTGTTGAAGTCAGTCCTCTTCCCATCAGGTAAGAGGTAACTTCACCTGACCCAGCTCTTGTCTCTTTTCTTTATTTTTCTCATATCCACCACTGTTTCTCTCTGGAGTACAACAAGAGACCAATGAGGTTACCTACACTTTAGTTTGTTTCTCCATCATCTATTCTGTTTGACTGTCATGTCTATTTTCATACCAGATTCATGTTGTTTTTCTCACAGTAGGTTTGTCATATAACTTCAAATCCAGGATTGTTATGCTTGCTGCTTTGATATTGTTATTCAGGATAGCATCAGAGGCCCCTCTGTTTCTTAGCCCCTGTACTATGGTTACAACTCAAGCCAAGGTATGTCTTTGTTCCTCTTGGTAGGTGGGAAATGAAATAAGGCCCCTGGTCCCTGCTGGATGTAGACTGCAGGGCAGGGGTTTGAAGGGACCGTTGGATAAATGCCTACAATCATGAGCTCTGGTTGCTCTGTTCTTTCATGGTATTATCCTTGCCCAGGATCAGGTCACTTGGTTAGTCCTTGCCCTTGCTGCCCTGCCCTGTGGGGAAGCAAAATGCAGAGCTGCCTTGGAGCTGGTGGGTAGTGACACCCTTGCATCAGTGCTCACTTCCACATGTGGCCCCACTTGCTAGTGTGAGAAGAGGGCACTGCTTGTCAGTGCAGGTCTGGTTGATCAAGTGGGGAAGGGGCACTGCTCCTCCCAACAATTTAATTCGTAATTGAAAAACTCTATGTCTTTCTTCTTTTGAACACCCAGCTATAATTCTATTAGAAAGACTGATATGTCCATATTACAGTGGGCTTTAAATTCTGGGAATTCATTATGATTTTAACTTGGATTTTGATGTTTCCAAGTCTGCTCAGCTGCAAGTATCTAAAAACTGTATCACACAATCCATTGGAATCTTTTTCTTTAAAGAAAGGGACTATAAGAATGAATATTGTGAAACAGTATCCCCCAAAGCAAAAGAATTGTACTGTAGCAACTCATAAAATTCTGACATAAGCTAGTAATAACTAACAATCTAGCTTTAAATTTTGTTAAATGTGTGTAATCTTCATTTTCTATTTATAGTTGTGTAAGTCCCTTCTCCTTCAATCCTATTTTCAATTCATTATGAAATATATGAAAAATAGTTCAACATCACTGGTTATTTGAGAGACAAACACTGTCACATTCTGAGGCACTGAGGCAGAGAGTTTAAACACATGGATTTTATAGAAACACAATTCAGTCCAGAATTTCTCACTCTCTGGTACTTGCAACCAGCAACATGAGTGAATTATAAATATGCATGCCCTTAAGTACATGCTGACTTTAAAGGCATGAAGAGAATTTCAACATTTCCATTCTATTCAACTGGTCAGAAAATAGTGACTCATATTATCACACTTAGCCATCAAGTACAGTGGAAAATGTAACTTTGATTACATTTGTGCATATACTTTGGGTTAGGGTTGGGTTACTACAGAAGACAAGGATCCTCCCTTCCAACTCCAAAGGAAAGAGAAAGAGAGGGTGAGGATGAGGACAATGGTTGAGATGTGATGTATACATCCCACAAAACAAATTGAAATATAAT